TTTTTCACTGAATCGAAATTAAAAGCTAAATTAGAAATTTTGGAAGAAATCAGAAGAGGAACATTAATAAATTGTGTGATTAGCTTACACAAAGTTTAAACAGAAACACAAATGCATAAATGGACCAAATTCAAATAGATTCACCAACGAATCAACGATAATTTCCATCCAACAAGTTAGGGAATTAATTACTTCTAATAATATTAATATCAAAACATCAATTATTCAGTTATTACAAATTATGCCAAAAAAAAAAAAAAAAAAAAAAAACGGAAGAAAAAAAAAATGTTAAATTAAATTTTACTACAACTTTTCTCCAGCTCTAGATTAGACAACGCCAATTGCGATTTCGTCCTCGGAATCTCTCCGGTAGGACCGGTACCCATGGCCGGTGAAGTAACAGAAGGTGAATGCCCAGGGTCAGAGGCGGTGATCAATGCTAAGCAACTTTCACTCCACGATCGCTTCACCGGATATGACACTTGCGTATTCTTCGGCGGATGCGAGCAACGGCCGCGCGATTTATGTAATGCACAGTTACAATTCCTATGATACGGCCGCCGCTGGATCCCCATATCGCCACCAGAAATACATCCTTCGAATAGACCCCGGAGCAGTCCGTCTCCGGCAGCTCCTGTGGCCATATTGATCTCGCGATTCTCTGATGTTCTGAGATATTTTTCCCTTTCTCAGCTTCTTAAGTGGCATAATGGCTCCTGAACTACTTTTATTGTTGCACAGCAGAGCACAATACGTGCCACGTGGGTCGGTGGGGGAGATCCCCAGCTGGTCATGCTGCACATAAAAATCGTATATACGAGATTACTTAAAATGATGTGGAGAAAAAAATTGAATGAAACATTTGATTTACATGTAACAAAGTTCCTAATAGTATATTTCTATTCATATGGAAAAACAAGATTTATTTGTGTTGTAAATGGTGTTAAATCCATCAAATATCAATGACCGCTCAACTTTAAATTTATCTACGGTTTGGTAGCAAATTTTCATCCAAAGAAATTACTTTTTTGACCGTTATTTTATTATTTCAACCATAATTTTTGACTTCTTCATTTATAGACGAAACCTATTTTTCTCTTCAAAGGTAAAAAATCAATTCTTACAATCACCAACAAATAGGTCCTTAGTGTCACCATAGACACTTAATTTAATTTTGTTTCACTATAATCATCTAACTTTATACTTATGTCACTATGGTACCCACCTAACTTCTTTTCACAATTTTCACTAATTTTAAAAGTGATGATATATAAAATAAATTTAAAAAATAAAAGCTTTTTTTATTAAATTTTCAAAACATTTTTTTTAAAATAAAGTTGGATGGTCATGATTAAATGTTATATGAAATTGAATGGTCATGTAAAACGTTATATGAAATTGGGTGACCATGATGAAATAAAATTAAAGTGGGTGATAATGGTGACACTAATTATAAAATTGAGTGATTATGATAAAATAAAATCAAATTAGGTGACCATGGTGACTCTAAGTATAAAATCAAGTGACAATTAGTAATTTTATCCGTTGTAAATATGAAGGGGTAAAATTTTTGAGAAGTTAGAAATTATTTTTGAAAAAATAGAATTATTGATTTTATAAGAAAAAGGCAATCCAATTCTTTTGTGCTTCATAAATAAATTATATTATGAGGGTTTTTGATGGTGATTAAAATTAAATTTTAAGTAAATTTTGATAGAAGTACGATACAGGGGTATTTTTTGTACGGGCCTTAAAGTTTTATATGGGCACAGGCTAGGGTTAGTATAAATAATATGTTGTAACACTATTTTTCAGAACTGAATAAAGAAATCTCCGCTTCGTTCTCGTGGACGTAGGCACATCGCCGAACCACGTAAAATTCTTGTGTTGATTTTCGTTTTCATCTCTTTAATATTGCGCATAAAATCCAACAGTATTAGATAAGAGGTTAAGACGAATAAAATAGGATTTTGGGTTTAGTTTTCAATTATGAGAAGTTAGTTACTAAATGTTATATAAAATAAAAAATGAGGGATTTGATTGCAATTTAAATTTAGTAAACACTAAGTAGTATTATATGGATATCATTTTGAATTTATACAAACAAAACCTTAAACCATTGATAAAGAGAGGGAAAGAAGGAAAAAAAGAAGAAAAGAAAAGTGAAGGAAAAATTTAGCGCCGTCGCCTTTCTCCAACCTCTCAGAGGTGGCGCTAGATTTATAGAGAATAGAAAAGGAAAGAAAAGAAAAAGAAAAAAAAGAAAGAAGAAGCAAAAAAGGTCGAAGTGTCCAGATGAAACGGTATACTTTGTTAAAAATAATTTCTTTTACTATTAGTCTACAATCATATTTTTCAGATAAATTCTTGAATATCAATTGAGGTAAGAATACATCATGCAAAGTGATAAATTCTTATTTCTTGATGTTTATATAAATTTTCGCACGGAATACTATAAGGCTTTCCAGCCGAATTCTATGTTAAATCCTTCGGGATAGATAATTAGGTCAAATATGTTAAATCCTACGGAATGAACCTTCGAATCAGTTATGTTAAATTTTTACGGGATATCAAAATTCTTAAGAAATTCCTTGAACTCTAAATCTAAGAAATATCGTTATGTTATATTAGTTTTTTATTTATATCATGTTAATAAGAATGTACACGTATTCTTATTAAGTGTTTTTCAAAATACTCACTCTTACAATAACTTTTCAGATGAGAACGTGTCGTGTGAACGCGTGGAAGATTGACCGAGTGACGCTTATGGGATCGCCAAGTAAAGTTTTCAAAAAATATAATTGTCAACTTTTGTTTGAATAATATCTTTATTTTAATGTACGTTATTTAATATTTTTAGAGATCCAGCATTTTATATTTAGTGCTTATTTGTTACGGATTAAAAGCCAATTAAAATCAATTTTTCTCGTTGTTTTACCATTTCAACCGTCATTTTTGAATTATTCTCTCACGGGTAGGACTCACTTTATCTCTAACGGTCAAAAAATCAATTATTAAAATCTCTACCAAACAAGCTATTAATGTTAAATCTTAAATTAATAGTTTGAAATGGAGTATTTCAAGAATTGTATTTAATATGAAAATTTTACTTAAATTGTTATTTTAACGTTATCGAATTATCGATTACATTTTCAAATTTCAACACTTAATAAAAGTGATATTTCCACTTAAATTAAATGATGAATATTTTGGTAACATCTCGAGACTATTTTTATAAAAGAATAAAATAATAAAGATGAAAAAGATTTCGGGGCGTTACACATGTCATGATCCTAATTCCTGATGATGTCTGTCCACTTTATTCCCCTACTCAGAACTGAATGGTAAAGTAATCTAGTTCTTTACATTTCAGAATAGATGAAAATAACTTTCATTGAATACGGAAATGACAAATAAATATGGAAAAATTAGTACCTGAAGATGGCTTGCCACATTTTCCCGGGTAAGCCCTTCAACATTCATCGGGTCAAGGATCCTTTTAGGGACCGCTTCTGCATTAAAAAATCAGATAAAAGGAAAGAACGTTAATGGTAGTGATGATTCCAGATCTCGTTAGTATCGAACCCGACCACTTGACCCCGATCACATCCTCCAACCCCGACCTTATCATCATCTAAAAACACCAAAAGGAGCTCGGGTATTTGAGGTCGGGGTGGATGTGTTGACTCGTCAACTTCCATATGTGACCTATGGAAGCATTAATCCTACCTTGAACACAATCTCTACCTTATTGGACTCTTTCTTTGACTCAAACAACGATTTGAATATATGAGGTGAAACACCAACTCTTTCCCTACGAGGAGAAGGGTTGTGGCAGAATCAGTCCTCCTAGGACTCAACCACTAACACCTATAAATACACCACCTGTGCTCATTCCAAAGGTACGTTCTTCATTATTATCCTCAGTTTATAGCCTCACGCATAAAATTCCCTGTCTGACTTAAGCATCGGAGGGGCGACGAGCACATACCTCGTTGCCTTTGTTTCAGGTCCTAGAAGGCGCAGTTCGTGTTCCATCCCAGTCATCAAGCTCGAGATTTTCAGGTGATATTTTTGGTAACATCATTGGCGTCGTCTGTGGAAATTTCGCTACCAAAAGCCATGGTCAATACACGTTCAGGTCTTCCTCCAGCAAGCTCATCCGTCCCGGATAACCCTCCACCTCCTGAGGAACACCATATTCCTCAAGAAGAGTCGTCGGGGATGCCAGCACCTCCTCAAACTGTTGTTTCCACCGGAGCTTTTGAGGAACTTCGCCAGCAGGTGGTTGCATTGACCCAACTGCTAAGTCAGAGAAATTCGCATTCATCTCACACCCCAACACCTGAAGGTTGCTTTATGGCAGATGCCCGGACTTGAGTTCATCATGCAACCCATGATGATGGTGGGGTTGGAACCTCAGGGTACCACAAGTTGCATCAGGTTCAAGGTCCGTTACAATAGACTCCGCCGAACTTGCAAGAATTATTCAAGAAGGGATAGCAGCGAGTCTGCAACAAAATACTCGGGCAGCAACAGGGTTTACCCCCAATACACCATTCACTCCAGAAGTCCTTTCGTACCCCCTTCCCGATAGGTTCAAGTATCCTCGAATAAAGGAGTACGACGGGACAACCGACCCCATCAACCATCTCAATGTATACACGAATATCATGAACTTACAGGTTGCACCAGATGCGGTAATGTGCAAGGCATTCCCTCAAACCCTCACGAATGCGGCTAGAGATTGGTTTTCCACATTGGAACCGAACTCCATCACCTCCTTCTCAGATTTGGCTGACAAGTTCTCCGCTTTCTTTGCGAGTAGCAAAAGAATCAGAAAGACAGCTGCATCGCTCATGCAGATGCGTCAAGGACCCAACGAAACACTGCGCAGTTTCATGACCAGGTTCAACAAAGAAAGGCTTTAGATCCCCGATCTACATATCACAGTTGCAGTCTTAGCTCTGACTTACGCCATTAAGTGCGAAGTGTTCAAAATGTCCTTGTCTAAAACCCCGCCGAAGTCAGTAACCGAGCTACTCACACCGGCTGAGAGATACATCAATATGGAAGAAACCATGGCCCCAAAAAGGGAAGTTACCTCATCAGGGAGGTTGGATTAGAAAAGGCCACATGAGTCCAGCGTAAGACAAGGGACACCTAGGGTCAAACCAAGAAAGGATCCACCTTCAATGGCTTTTACCCACCTGAACACTTCGAGGTCCAACATCCTGATGGAGATCAAAGACTCTAGGGAACTGAAATGGCCTCCCCGATTGCGGTCTCCCCTCGATACACGTGACAAGAGCAAATACTGTGATTTCCATAGGGATCACGGCCATACCACAGAAGATTGTCTGGCCTTAAAGCGGGAAGTCGAAGCTCTTATAAGAAGAGGATTTCTGAGCTCTTTAACAATGACAAACGCCCGAGAGGATCGGGGAAACAAGCAACCAACTGCAGGCACTATCAATATCATTGTTGGAGGAACAATCTCGGGAGAAGACTCTAGCAGTGGGCGAAAACAGTATGCCAGACAGCCACCGATCATCTCAAGACCAGATCTTGGTCGTACAGAGGACATCAGTTTTGGAATGGATGACTTGGAAGGCATAGCATTCCCCCATGATGATGCCCTTGTCATATCGGCCATCATCGCCAACTTTGAAGTCAAGAGAATTCTGGTAGATAACGGAAGTGCAGCAAACGTACTCTCTCACGAAGCTTTTGTTCAAATGGGGATCTCGTCAGAACAACTAAAGCTAGTGAAAACACCCCTGCAAGGGTTTGGAGGTGGGGTCATCACTCCGGAAGGTATCGTCGGGTTACCCTTAACATTAGGAACCGAAGGTAAGCAGGTAACGTAGATCACTACCTTCGAAGTCGTCCGTACGCCGATGGTTTACAACGCCATATTGGGAAGACCAATGCTCAACAGAATTCGAGCTATTGTCTCAACTTTTCATCTGGCTATGAAATTCCCTAATTTTACAAGGTGGGTAGAAGCCGAACCTCTAGTAACAATTTCAGAACCGAAGCTCAGATCATTTATATGGAAATCCATCATATGCAGATTTGGGATACCAAGAGTCCTCATCACAGATAATGGAAGACAATTCGACAATCCCCAGTTCAAGAACTTCTACGCCAGCAATGGGATTGATCATCACCTGACCTCGATCTCACACCCACAAAGTAATGGGTTAGCCGAAGTAACTATTCGGATCATATTGCAGGACCTCCGAACAAGGATAGGGGACGCCAAAGGTGACTGGCCTGACATGCTGCCCTCGATACTGTGGGCATATAGGACTTCACACAAGGCAGCAACTGGTGAAACGCCATTCATTCTTGCTTTTGGGCTTGAGGCTACCATTCCAATTGAGGTTACCCTCCCCACAATAAGAAAGCTCGAGACGAATAAGGAGATACAAACTACCGAACATCTCGACTTGCTTGAAGAGGTAAGAGAGCAAGCTTCCCTTAGGACTGCAAGTTACCAAAACAGAACGGCAAAGCACTTCAATAAGAAGGTCAAGAACAGGAGATTTAGAGTCGCGATCTTGTCCTAAGGAGAGCAGAAGTCGCTGGGCACCAACCAGGGAAACTTGGGCCAATATGGGAAGGATCCTACGAGGTTATAAGAAAACTTAAAGGGAGAGCTTATAGCCTCAGAGATACATCAGGGAATCCACTCCCAAGGCCATGGAACGCCAACAATCTGAAAATATATTACAAGTGATTAGCTATATGTCACGGGCCTAGTTTCGTTACACCCGAACAAACTAGAACCGTGCAGCCTTAACGTTCTACAATTTTCGCACCTCACGAGAAAACGTTAAGTCAGCCTTTCCACGCCCACAAATAATTTAACCAATGAGGCTAAATTATACCCACGTTGAAAAGAGAATTTGGAAGTAAGTAATATATGGAAAACAAGTAAGGATGGGGGAAACTTTCTTTGTATAAATGAAAGGAAAAACTTTACAATCTCTCTTGAAAGAATAAACTCACTCACTCTACATTCTCTACCATCTCTCCCTCCCATTTACAAATGCCACTACATCTCTATTTATAGGAAAACTAAACCTCCTTAACATTCCACTTTACAACTCGTGCTTAGTTGTCGCCAACTCATTCTTAGTTGTCTTCAAGTGGATTGTCTTACAACTTGCCTTGCAAGTTGTCGCCAACTCGTGCTTAGCTTGCATACAACTCGCACCTAGCTTCCACCGTTGATATTTATTCTTGCCAACTCGTGCTTAACTTGCATACACCTTGCGCTTAGCTTACAAGTGGCACAAGTGGAGAAGTTGTGCAAGTTGCCCACTTGCATCCTCAAAATATCCGGCTGCAGGTTCATGTATTTTACCTCCCAAAATGGTTAGATCGGGACTTAAAAAAACCTCATTAATGCCCTAGAAAACTGCAAGATGTAGGCAGCCTGCATTCTGCCCCAAAATCATCTATGCATCCCCAGCCCGAATCTACCTGCGACCTTTGCCGAATCTGCTTGCGTCCCCTATCGCAAGCTGTTCCGTCCTTCAGAAACGCGTTACCCGCGCTATTTTGCGATCGCTACCGAGACGGATCGGTCGCGATTATGTAGGCGTAAGTCACTCCCCCACTGAATTTGGCGACACACTCATCGCCATGTATTGCCGAAGTTTAGACCTTATTTGCCATAAGTCTATCTCATTTTCCCACCTTGTGCTATGACATTTCCGTGTCATGCCAAGCCTTAAGTCATGACATTGCGATTCGTGACATATAGCTATTAATTTTCCTTTAGGGCTTGTATGCCCGCTTCATGTTTTCTTAATTTCGTTTTTACTTTTCGGGCTCTAATGCCGAGATAGCTCATGCTCAAATAAGCTCGGGTATGCAACGCCCTTAAGCCTTTTAAATAACACAAGAAGTTTTCTTTATGATATTGATCCCCTACTAAATTAGCGTAAGGCCGTGCCCCGCGCATGCAGCTAATACCTTTACTGATTAGCGTAAAGCCGTGCCTCGCGAATGCAGCTAATACCTTTATTAAATTAGCATAAGGTCGTGCCCCGCGCATGCAGCTAATACTTTTACTAAATTAGCGTAAGGCCGTGCCCCGCGCATGCAGCTAATACCTTTATTATGTAGCTAATACATTTACTAAATTGGCGTAAGGTCGTACCCCGCGCATGCAGCTGATACGTTTACCAATACCACACACGACCTCGAGCTAAAAATTTATTCGTTTCACGCCATTCTGGGATCTGAGCTCAGGCTTATATGCTCGATCAGCTCGAGGACGAGTCATAATGCATATGACGCGTACAGTTATCCCCGACCTCAAAGATCCCAGAATTCTTGGCAATGCATGAATTTTAAAATCGAGGTCGAGTCAATATAATACAGTTGCCCCCAATACCGAACTTAGATGTTGGGGTCAACCCTTGATATGAACAAGAATTAAACACTAGTGCACGATCTAGTTCCCCAAACGGTACGCCACCGAACTTAGATGTTGGGGTCAACTCCCGATGAGAACAAGAATTCAACACTAGTGCGCGATCTAATTTTTCCCAAAGGTACATCACTGAACTCAGAAAAAAGAAACCCGAAATACTCTACGCGCACGAGTTATAAGTTTAAAGACTAGGACACATTCCCTAACAACCGAACTCTAAACTATAATGTAAACTCGAATTCAAAATTACAATACAAGATAAACACACGATCTGAATAATAAAACGCATGAACTGATAAAAGACAGAGGCCAAATTCGGGCAATAAACTTGCATATATTAAAAAACCAAAGTACATAAGCCCAGATCGGGCAGAAAACATTAGCAAAAGAAAAATTATTACAAAACTCGAGGTCGGGGAAGGTCTAGTCTAGGTTGATATGGTCACTACCCCCTTCATTGTCGGGGGTTCCAGCATCGTCATCCTCATCGTTCCCATCACCCTCGGAGGAGGATAGCTCGAGGTCCTTAGCAAGCTCGTTCACAGTCTTTAACTCCTCCACTATAGGCTTTAAATCCTCGGGGAGCTTCGTCCTAAGGAATGACCGAGCTAGCCGCAAACCATAGTAGTACGAGCCAGACCCATACTGACCCAGGAGAGTCTTGAACTCATCAGACTTCTTGAAGTCATCGATCGCCTGAGCTCGGGTTTCAGCTTGAACCTTTGCAAGCTCTGCCTCAAAAGAGCTTCGCGAGTGAATGAGCTCGAGCTTCGCTTCCTCTGCTTCGCCCCTTGCAAACTCGACCTCGTCCTCCGCCTTCTTGAGGTCCACCTTCGCCGCCTCCAGGGCCTTTTCTAGCTCCTTGGCCTTCTTGAACGCAACCTCGCTCTTGACTTCGAGCTCGGCTATGCGATCTGAAGAATTCAAACCCTTAAGTCCAAGACCTCGAGCGACGCTTAGTGTCTGCAAAAACATGTATAAAGCTCGACGTGAGTATAAATTACGAAACCGATCAGGGCTACACGAGCATTCATATTAAAAACGTACCTTCAGTGTAAGAAGCTCTAGAGTCCGAACTCCCTCGTTTATATCGACCTCCTTCTCATATTTATCAACTATGCCCTGAATGAGAGCACATTCGGCGTACTCCTCGAGCGACTTCGTGGGCATATGGTCGTCATCATCAGCCAAGAGGTCCGACCCATAACAAGGGGTTCGAGCTCGGACTTGTGGTTGAGGGGTTGGCTGCTTCGGAGGGGTCGGGTTTTGTGAACTCTGCCCCAGATCCACCATGGTTGGACGGGCGGCCTCCCGTGCCCGTTTCTTTCCCTTGGACGAAGCCATGGTCGAGGTTTTTGACTTCAGGCCCTTGGCCTTTTTATGAACGTTGTCCAAGAGGGCTGATGGATCGAAAGACATCTTGAATTCTGCAAGCAAAAATGTAAAGGCATTAGCTCGAACTATAGGACGATGATTATCCATGAAATATCAAATAATGCATAAAAAGAAAGATCGTACCCTCGAGGCGTTTCAAGTCAGCAAGGTCGAGGGTGTTGTCTTCAAGCAAGAAATCGATCTTGTCCGCAAGGGGGTCGGGTTCACTAACCTCAGCCTATCTCTCTCTAAAACCTCAAAATAGGCCCGACCTTCGTTAAACCTATCTTTGTCAGGGATTTCCCACCTCGGGCTAAATGGATGATCGAGGTTTTGAGGTTTCACAAAAAAGAAACGCTCCTTCCAACCTCTAAGTGAGCTCGAGGTATCAGAAGTTCTAAACCCCCCCTTTGTTGATAAAACAAAACTGTTATACCCCGGGGAAAATTTCATATCAAACACCATTCGAAGTAGGTCGACCCTAGGCTTAACCTCGAGACATCCACATAGTATGAAGAAATACACTAATAACCTCCAACCATTCGGGGCTAATTGACCCGGACACAGGTAGTATGAGGTCAGAAAATGAATGAAAAATGGGTGAAGAGGCCACCTAAGCCCGGCCTTAAGAGCATCTCTAAAAAAGGTCATCTCCCCCTCTCGAGCTCCTAACACGGTCTCAGTTGGCCCTGGGGTTCTAATATCGCAAATTGGCATGACCCCGAACTCTCTAGCTATTTTAATAATTACATGTTCTTTATACTTAGTCGGTTCCTTGGGGTAGGTCAGGACGTCGCGATGGGAGTTAATGGGGATGACCATAGGTATAATGGATGTATTTACATCTTCAGGCCTATCACTATGATTCGAGTCCCTAGGAGCCTGACTACTGTCACTACTACTTGACCC